CTCTGTTTTCTAGCTTCTTATTTAGGATTTTCTCTCTTTCTCTCTCTCTCAGCTTCCCCGCTGAATAACTCAGCTGTAAAAAAAAGAAAAGAAAAAGGAATCTGTCTACTCCCAGACCAGAACAAGGAGACTCCAGTATTCTCAGAACTTTTTAAATTGTGCCCTCCTGTCAGTCGTAACTTCTTAAATAAGCAACTCCAGTATATGTATTATTTGGTTTATACATGACAAACCGCTGCTATTGAATTGACACGGCATGTACATTATGAAACATAAATAAAATGGAAGCTGTAAGGGAATGATCTACATACTTTTAACTTCTAGTATTTTCTCCCTGTACCAGTGACTTATCCCAAGCCCGGCCCGAGCCATGAGGAGTAAGGCCAGGAAGCTAGAGGCCGAATGCTCGCTGAGACCTCAGCGGGGGAGATTTTCCTCACATGCTCTTCCTTCCTTGTGCTGTAAGTTATTTTTAAGTAGGGTCATTTCTTTATAAACACGCAGAAGCCGAAACAGAAAGGGAGAAACTGTGAGGGTGGAACAGAGATAGAGAGGAGAGTCTAAGGACTGGATGAAAAAGAGACTGGGGAATTAGTCAGGGCCAGTGGGAGCCAGGAGCCGCCCCGGGGACAGAGGGCGCGGAGAGGGGAGTGCTCCCGGGAAAGTCCTGGGTCCGATGGGGCAGGCCGGGGACTCCCTCCTAGATGGAATCTCACCCCAGGAGTCGTGCTTCCGGTAGTCACAGTATTCCACGTGCTTGGGCCGCGGATAGAAGATATAGGCACAGCCGCACTCCTTGACCATGCTCTCCTGAAAGCAGGAGCGAATACACACCTGGAGGAGAGGAGAGTGGAGCAGAAACGGGGTTCAGGCCTGCCCTTCCTCTCACGCAGCCCAGAAGAGGAAGAGAAGGACAAAAACTTCTCCCGGCACACCTCCATCCCTATTTCCACTGGTATACACACACACACAACACACACACAGACACGCACACAACACACACACTACACACACACACAACACACACACACAGACACACACACTACACACACACACTACACACACACACACAACACACACACACATACACAACACACACAACACACAACACACACACTACACACACACACACTACACACACACACATACACAACGCACACACACAACACACACACATACACAACACACACATACAACACACACATACACAACACACACAACACACAAGATACAACACATACAACACACAACACACACACATACACAACACACACACACTCCTCTGATTGACCAACAGTGCAGGCCTGGAAGATGATCGCCATAGAAACAGGCTGACCTCACCTGCTGCGTGTATTTGGAAAGGTAAAGGTTCGTGACAGGGACATCGCTGCCATTATTGGTGCAGTCACCATAGTTGCCCCCAAGTCTGTCCAGGGCTTCCTGTGAACCCATATACACCAAGAAGTCAGAGGTCAGAGCAAGTGGCCCAGGCCTCTCCCTGAATTCTGTCTTCTCTCAGCCCCAGGTTGCATCTCCTACCCCACCAGTCTCTCTTATCTGCCTCTCCCTTTCAAAGCATGCTTCTAGTGGCCCCCAACAGCCATCCCAGTGCTACTTTCAAGGACACGAGGCCCAGAGCATCCCCCGGAATCCTAAGCATGTCCTGAACCCTTTCTGAGCACCTTCATCCAAGGTCTACTCCTCAGAGCCCTTCTTCCTGACACCCACTCCGCCAGCCCCCTCGCCTCTAGTTACTGCTCCTGTAGACCTCCACATGCTCAAGACTCAGCTTGTGTGATCTCCCTCCATAGCCTCTGGCTGTCAGGTCCACCTCCCGTGCCCTCTCCCTGGCCCTCGCCAATCTGAGGCTGTCCTCCCAAGCCTCCTAAGCAGCATCCTTGCCTTCTTCATGCCAATGGAGGTCTCCACACCAGGCCGCAAGTTAAAGCCACCATCATCCATAAAGGCAGGTTCATCCTGCCCGTGCACCATTACCCTGGCCCCCGTCACTGTGGACAGCAGCGGGATATAGTCATTCTGCTCTGTGCGCAGAGTCAGGGACAGACCTGGGGGTGTAGAGGGAGCAAAGTAAGAGGAAGGTCTTGCAGAAGCATTAGGGAATGGAAACCCACCCTCTCACCCTGCCCAGTCCCTAATGCCCCAAGAAGAGCAAAGCCGGAAGACTTATAAATGGATTTGGCAACCCCTGAGCTGGATTCTCAAGGCAAGATTTCTAACACACCTGAAATGGATTATGTGGTACCCACAGGGGAGAAACAGTGGGGACTCCTTCCAGGATAGAGATAGGCATGATGTGGTGAGGCCCAGAGGCACATAGCATCTCTATGATGTGAGCTCAAGGTGGGTAAATGTGGGCGGGCAGGGAAGTAGGAAGGCCTGAATCAGAGGTCAGGGACTGAGGGACTGGTGAGTTGCTCACCATTGTCAATCCCAGGCATAGAAGACATCCAGAGGTTGGAGTTGTTCTCGCCATTGAAAGTATAGCAGTTCCCGTATATCGGGTGGTGGAACTGTGAGTAATTCCTATGCAGGAGAGAGAGAGTCGAGTCAGTCACAGAGGAGAGTGTAGAGGGTCAGGGAGAGAAGGACCTTAGCACCCTTTATATTCTGATCACCTACAATGTAAAAATAAAAGCCTGTGAGTACATTATCCCCACATCACAAAAGAGGAAGCTAGGGCACGAACAGTGATGATAAACTCAAGACTCAAACCCAGGTCATCTACCTTCTAGCCCAGGTTCCTCCCACCAGGCCACCTGACCTCACTGGTCTTGTGACCTCTCTTGTGTTACTGTGTTGCGTTATAAAGACTCTAGCAGTGTCCCTATCTGCTCACATGTCTAAATTTTAGTTCCCCATTTAGACTGTGATCTCCTTGAGGACAGAAGCCACATCCCATTGATCTCTGTATCGTCTCTGGGTTAATTGTATAGTTCTTGGCATCTAGGAGGTAGTTAATAAATAGTTGTCACATAAATGAATGGATGAAATGGAAGTAACAGGGTTAGAGGACAGAGTGAGACCAGCGATGAGCATGGGGCTGAGAGGAAGAAGATCAGATCCCAGGGCAGAAATGAGTGAGGTTCTAGATGTATGGCCTTGAGGAAGTCATCTTTTTCTAAGCTTATTCTCCTCATCTATAAAATAAGAAGATTGGAACTAGATGATCTGGAAAATTTTATGGGCCTTTAAGAACAGTCACAGAGGCGTGAAATACTGGCGCACATTCTGGGACACGCTAGAAAGTCAGCACTTCCAGAGCAAAGGCTGGATTCAGGAAGAGACAGAAGAAAAGACTGCAGAAGAGAGCAGAGGCCAGTCCTGAAGGGTCTGTGAGCCCTGCTGAATGGGAGAGGGGACAGGTACGATGTGGTGGATGCACACCAGAGACTATGCAGTTGGAGCAACATGGATGGATCTTAAAAAGAGAGCTTAGTAAAAAAAATAAATAATATAAGAGATGAAATGAGATGTATAACACAACACCGTTTACACACTTCTTGCAAAAACCCATACAGAGAGATACACATTAAGCACATTACAAGAATATATGAGAAGCAATATAACATGATGGTAAAGAGCACAAACTCCAGCATTATGTGTGTTTGAATCCTAGCTCTAACAGCTATTAGCTGTGGGACCAACTAAGTCACTTAATCTCTCTGTACTGCAGTTTCCTTGTCTGTAAAATGAGGATACTAATAATAGTACTTACCTCACAAGGATGTCGTGAGGAATAAATTACACTTAGAACAGTGCTTAACACTTAGTAAGAGCTAAATAAGTTTACTATTAAGATTCTAGGGATTCATTAGGATGGCTAAAGTGAAAAAGACAGACAATAACAGGTGGAGGATGTGGAGAATTTAGAACTCTCGTACACTGCTGATGGGAATGTAAAATGGCACAGCCACTTGGAAAACAGTCTGGCAGTTCCTCAAAATTTTAAACATGAAATATATGATGGCAGCAGTTCCGCTCCTAGTATATATTTAAGAGAAATGAAAGTATACATCCACACAAAAACTTGTACAAGAATGTTCGCAGCAGCATTATTCACAACAGCCAAAAAGTGGAAAGAATCAAAGTCTATCAAACTGAGGAATAAGTAAACAAAATGTAGTATACCCATACAACAGAATATTATTCAGCCAGAAGAAGGAACGAAGTACTGATCCATGCTGCAAAACGGATGAACCTTGAAAACATTATGCTAAGTGAAAGAAGCTAGATGCAAAAGAACGCATATTAAATGATTACATTTGTATGAAATGTCCATAATAGACAAATCTATAGAGACAGAAAGTAGATTAGTGATTCCCAGGGTTGGAAGGAGGAGGGAACAAGGAGTGACTGCTAATGGGTACAGGGTTTCTTTTGGGGGTGAAGAAAATGTTCTAAAATTAGATAGTGGTAATGGTCGAACAATTCTGTGAATATATAAAAATCACTGAATGGTATCTATTAAAAGGATGAATTTTATGGTGTGTTAATTATATCTCAGTACATTTGTTATTAAAGGAAAGATTATAGAAAGAAGGAGAGAGGATATTGGATATAGGGCAGAAGAGGGCTGAGAAAACCATGCTAAAGAGCTTCAACTTGATTCAGAAGGCCTTGCGAGACATTGAAGGATATTAAACAGGACTCGCTGGAATAGTTAAACACAGTGAACTGAAGTACGAACAGTGAAGTATAAAGTTTCCTGTGGTCACAGAATGAAGGGAGGATTTAGAGGCAGAAAGACAAATGAGGAGAGGGTATAATAATAACTCAGGCGACAAATATTGGAGCTCTGAGCTAAGGATGTGACCTAAGCGTCAAGACTGAGATGAAGTATGGACTTTCCATTGATAGGGAGGTAGAAGCATGGGGCAGGCAGAGTGAGAGAATCAGTGGGAAGGTGACAATTAGAGACTCGGGGTGGCAAGTGTGAGCTGACCCAGGCTCAGGTTCTGCTACTGTCTCACTTCCCAGCTGGTAGCTCCTGTCCTCAAACAAACACAAAGACTAGGGACAGAAACAAAATTGTATGCTGGGCAAAGTGTACATGCGAGGTGAAAGGTGGGGGCAGGAGCAGGTGACACCTGGTCCTGCTGCCATTCTGCAGCAATATGGGAGGGAAGGCTCTCTGTAGAGTAGAGATGCTGCCTCAGCACCCTTCCTCAGCCAGGCTGAGACAGAGAGATGGTACCTGAAAATCAAGAAGCAGAAGCAGGGAGGAAAAGGGACGGGTAGGAGGGGCCAGAAGGAAACCTCCCTTACTCCTAGCCTCTCCCATCCCTCAGAGAGCTGGCAGCTGCCATGACCTCTTTGCAAGGACATTATCACAGGAATCATAACAATGCCTAGCAAAAAAAAAAATCCCCAAGCTAGGGGCTAGGACAAGTCACTTCAATTGCTTGACTACAGAGTAATAAGACCCCGTCGTTCATTGCAGTTTACAAAGTGACCTTGAATTTGTCATCTCATACACTTGGAAACCAATGTTATCACCATCCTTGGAAACCAATGTTATCACCATATTCATCACGGGAGCAAAAGTGCCAAAAGGACAAGAATGATATATATTTTCTTCTTTGATGTATCCCAAATGCCCAGACCAGCAACTGACACATAGCCTAGAGAGTCAAAAATATTTGTTGAATGAACATTGACTAAATCTCATTTTTTGCCTATTTTACAAACAAAGAATCGGGCTCAGAAAAGTGATGTGAAATGCCCAGTCACCTGGCCAGGAAATAACAGAGCCAAAGCAAGAACTCAGGTTTGTCCTTTACTCAGTCCATGTTATTTCTACCACACTACTGCCCACTTCATCTGAGAAAGTGGAGGATGGAACAAGATGACCTTCCAGCACCTTTGAGTTTGATGCTAGTGAGAAAGAGGCATAGACAGACAGGGAACCATACTTCCAACCCTTGGTTTCTCTTCCAACCCTTGGTTTCTCAAAGCTGGACCTCAACCCCAACCTTCCTAGGGCAGCCAGATGAGGCTACCTCACTCAGATCCATTCCTTCAGGGAGCAGCAGAAGTCCTGCAGGATGATCCGTGGGGAAGAGATTTAGACCCGAGGTCAGTGCATCCCCCTCCTCCGTGCAGGCATTTATTTAGTCAACAAGTATTTCCTGGGTACCACCCATGCTGGCCCTCAGGCTGGCTCTGGGAAGGAGACACCATGGAGAGCACAGAGCCAAGCAGGATGGACTCACGCCTGGCTGCAGGAGGCCTGGTTGAAGCGACAGCTGAAGATGAAGTTGCCCAGCTTGCTCTCCTCCAGGGATGTGAAGTTGTCCAGCAGCCGTGACAGAATGTTGATATAGTGGAAGCGGTACCACTCCCTCACTGCATCCACCCCTGATGAGTACGTCTGGTAGAAGCAGTCCGATTTGTTCTGGTTGCACTAGAACCAGAGACCAGAGCATCAGAGCCAACAGCAGAGGTCAGGCAGCAGGGCAGGGCCAAGGTCAAGGAATGAGTAGTCTGGGGTCCTGAGGAGGGTAGACAGGGGTGGGGGGCAGAAGTGGGCAGGAACAGAAGGCAGAGAGAAGCAGAAGCCCCGAGGAGAGTGGACAAAGAGGGCATGGGATTAAGGCAGTGGGAGGCCAAGGAGATGACCAGGAGCTGTAAACCTTATTGGGTCATTGATACAGCCTCTGCCAGAGGCTGGAGCAAGGATTCTTCTCCCCGTTTCACTAAAGGAATACTAAGGAATCAAGAGGTTTGTCCCAGCAACAGAGCTAAGACTGGAAATCCAGACTCCTGGTAGTATGACCCATTCCCACAGAAGGCGGCTTCTCTCCTTCCCTCTGCTGTTCCCACTTAACTCTTACTCTCCCTTTCTTTTATTAAACGATTTTTAAGCCTCCTTTTCACTGTCTCCTTATTCTCTGCCTTAGGTCCGAAGAACCCCGGTTCCCTAACACACTGGAGGGTCCCAAATGAGTCCCACCAGTGGGGACTGCAATTTGAAAAGATGCATTTTCCACAGCAGATTTGACTTCCAGCCGCTTAAACGCTCCCACAGAGGCCCCCAGAGAGGAGAAATCCCACAAGCTGGCGCGCAGAGTTGTTATTTCATTTTTCGAATTTAATTAATTAACTAATTAATTTTGTCAGCAAGCGAACGAGGGCCTGCCTCATCGTCAGGCAATGGGGAGGAGCCAGTAAAGGGAGCGGGGGTCCTTGGCTCCAGCGGAGCGGGAAAGGCGGGCGTTGAGCCCCTCGGGGCGGTGGGCGTGGCCGCCGGGGGGCGGGGTCTTACCAGCTTGAAGCCGATCTTCCAGTCTTTCCAGTTCACTTGGGGGTTGTTGTCCCTCAAGCTGGAGGCAGCGCTGCGGGCTCTGCGGACCGCCGGGGGCAAGGCAGGGTCCCACAGGCGCTGCAGGGGGTGCGACAGGGTCTCTCCGAGGTCGCGACGGCCACGGCGCTGGGCCATGAGGATGCTGGAGGCGTTGTATTTGTAGAGATCGTAGAGCGTCTGCTCTGTGATGCGGTCCAGCTCCTCCAGCTCCCCTTTAATTTGCGGGTACCTGAAATGGGCGATGGGGAAAGGGTCGGACTAGAGAGCGGCCTTGCACGGATGCCCGGTCCTGTGGGCCTCGGTTTCTTCGTCTGAAACTGGTGAGGGGTAGACAGGTGTGTCCGCGGGGTTAGTGGAGGCGACAGTGCGCCCCGGCGGTGACGGCGTTTATTGCCGCCTGTTTATGGAAAGGGAGAGGCTGGAGGCGCCTGTCAGTGAGACTCTCCTCCCACTCGCCCTGGCCTGGAAGGGAACCCGGAACTCGTCTGCCCTTTCTCCGAAGAGGAGGGGGTGGCATCGACCTGGTCTCATACATTCCCACAGGCCCGCGTTGTGCAGGTCATCTCGCCCCGATCCTCTCAGGCGAGGGTGGCCTTTGGGCCTGTCTGCCACCCGGCACCAAAATCAGGGCTTCTCAACCGCACTTGATAGAATTTCCCGAGGAACTTTACAAGTACCGATGCCGCACACTACCCCGCGCCAGTACCAGGATTCCATTTTAATGAGTTTCGGGTGGAGCCCAAACGCCATAAGTTAAAACACTGGCCTGTATAAATCATCACATTCCTTCCTCTCAGACAGGCCCTCTCACCATCTCCACCATGAAAGTCCGGAGTAGCAGGGCCTTAGGGGTAGAATCTACCCAAACGAAACACAGACACCTAAAACTAACAAATATATCAAACAAGGTTGCAGGATACAATACCAATATACAAAAATTAATTGTATTTCTACATGTTAGCAACAAAATATTGAAAAATGAAATCACAAAAACGCCATGTTAAATAGCATAAACAACATCAAATACTTGGAATAAATCTAAATAGGTATGTGCAAAACCTCTACACTGAAAATCTTGCTAAGTGAAATCAAAGACCAAAATAAACAGAGGGTTATTTATGTTCATGGATCAGAAACTCAGTGTAATTAGGATGTCTCCCATATTGAACTTTAGATTCAACACGATCTCTATCAAAACTTCAGCAGACATTTTTGAAGAAATTGACAGGCTGATTCTAAGATCGATACGGAAATGGAAACAATCCACAATGGCCAAAGCACTTACTCTACCTGACTTTTAGACTTACTATAAAGCCACAGTAACCAAAACAGTGTAGTGCCTATGTAAGGATAGACAATAGATCAATGGAACAGAATAAAGTCCAGAAATAAACTCATACATATATGGTCAACTGATTTTTTACTAAAGCACCAATTCAATTCAATGGGGAAAATAATTTTTTAAACAAATGGTGATGGAACAACCGTATACTATACTATAAAAAAAGAACTTCAACCTCTACCTCAGTCCAAACACAATTAAGTCAAGATGGATCATAGACCTAAACATAAAATTGAGAACTATAAAGACTCCAGAAGAAAACATAGAGCATAGACAAAAAAAATAAAAATTATCTAAGGAAGAACTGCTCCTAAAATATAAAGACCTCTTACAAATTAAGAATAAAAAGATAAATTGTTTTTTAAATCCATCAAAAAATATAAAATATAACTACATGAAAATGTTCAACATAATTAGTCCTCTGGGAAATGCAAATTAAAACCAGAATGAGGTACCATTTAACAGCCATTAGAAAAGCTAAAATTAAAAGATTGGCAATATCAAATGTTAGTGAGAACATGAAGTGATTGAAATCGCTGCTGGTGGAAGTCTAAAATGGTACAACTGCTTTGGAGAACCGTCTGGTAGTTACTTATACAGTTAAACATAGATCTACCTAATGACCCAGCAATTTTACTTCTGGATATTTCACCCCATTCCACTTTGAGCTATGTACCCAAAAGCAATGAAAACACATAACGACTTGTACATGAATGTTTATTATTCATGATGTCCATCAATACCACTAAGCAATAAAGGAGGACTGATACAGGTTTTAAAAAAAATGGTGGGGTGGTGGAGAAGTTCAAAAACATTGAGTTGAGCAAAATAAGCTAGACACACAAACAAGAGCATTCATATTGTGATTCCATTTACATGAACTCTAAGAACAGATCGAACTAATTGATGATGATAGGAGTCAGAAAACGATTGTGGAGGAGAGGAATTGACTGTAAAGGGAAACCAGGTAATGGAAATGTCCAAAATCCCGATCGTCAAGCCTCGATAAGGACTTTATTCTTGTGTGGTTTATTGTGGGTAACTTATACGTGAATTAAAGAAAACATCAAACACAGTGTAGGGCTCCACTTGCCAGAGATTCAGGTTTAGTGGGAAGGGGTGAGACTCAAACAAGGTTGTTTTTATAAGAGCCCCAGGGGGCCCTAATGTGCAGCTGCATTAACCATTGTCTAGTCCACATCCTTACAGTCCTCCTACCCCCTGCTCCAGTTCTCTCTCCTTCATAAAAAGCCAGCTGGCTGGGCCATAGGCATCGGCTCTGGTTGCCCTTCATCGGCTCATAGGAGAAAATGCAGCTCAGGCCAAGGTGTGTGTTTAATATTCTGAGAGATTTGTTTGTTATTGGCAATTAAAAGAATGGCAATTAGCTAGTATTTACTGAGCACTTACTTTAGCCAGGCACTGTGGTATTAGAATGTACATTATTGAATGTAATCTTCAATGTAATTGAGCGTACTATTAGCCACTGTTAGCTAATACTATTGTCCTTTTTATAGGTGAAAAACCTGAGCCAGGTGACTTGTTCAAGGCCACACAGTCAGGAGATGGGTCAGAAAGCACTCTGATCATCACACTGTCCTCCATCCTGTCCCTGTTGGCTCTGACTATTTCAAGAAATTGGCAATGTGCCCCTAGAAAGAGCACCAGAGCCAGTCAGCTGGATGTGGGTCCTGGTGTTCTGGTTGCACACTTTCTAGCGGTAGGATGTTGCTAACTCAACTTTGCTGAAGCCAAAGTATTTTCTCATCTGTAAAATGAGCCTAACATTAGATCTGCACATGAAGTTCTTAGAAGGTTAAATGAGAAAATAGCAATGCAAAGTGAAGAGGCCATCAAATGTCAGGAAGACACACGGGAGCCTGAAGCCCAGGAAACCGAAGTGTCTTTCTCGTGGTCACATGGCAAGAATCCAGGTGCCCCAACATGACTGGAGTTATTTCCACAACAAAAGCCACCACAGAGGTCTCTGACGGGGCCTCCCTTTCCACATGTCCTCCCACAGGCTGTCTCAAGTGCCTCTGAGCCCCTCTTCTGCCTCCTATATCTCCCTCACTCTCATCACCAACTCCAAGCTTCTATCACTTCTCTAGCCACAGGTCTCTTCCCCAGTGAGTCCCATGCTGTCCCTATGCCAGGCTCTCCTCTCAGTGGCCCTCTCCACATTCAGCTTCCTCCTGCCTCTTCTAGAGAGGCCTTTGGCGACCATCCCCTCCACTTCCAACTGTGACAAGGTCCTCAACCATGCTCCATACAGAATGCCATCACTCCCTGATGTCTACTTCTCTCCCATTTTTTGTCTTAAGGCAGGAAGAAGTATTCCCATATCACCCCTTCAGTAAAGAAACCTGTCCTTCTCTTTCAGTGGGCACCTAGAGCTAAGAGAACTGACCTCTGAATAAAACTTCTGATGATATCAGATCCTGTCCTGCAAGCTCGAGGACCCTGACAAGAAGAGAAGAGGGCTGAGATGGATAAAATGCTGACAAGGGGGCTATAGCAAGACAGTCCAGCCCTCCTAACCTTGACCTCCTATCCAGGTCATGGTCACTATCCTCACTCCTATCTGCTCTGGCAGGCAGCCCTTCATTAGAGGGTTGGTGGACCCTTGCACAATTCGATCAGGCAGGCATTACTAACTACATTTTACAGATGAGGAAACTGGGGCCCATCAAATAGGCAACTTTCCCCTAGGTCACTCAGTTAGGAAGTACAAGCACCAAGATTTGAACTCAGACTATTTCAACTCCATGGCCCCCGCTTTTTCTACCACTTCTTCTTCTAGGTTCAGAAACACTTGAGACTACAGCAAAATCTTTCCCTGCAGTTGGTCATCTCCCTTCCAGCCCCTTCTCTGCTCAGGACGGACTGGCAGGGGTGGCGACACTGGAAGATTTAGGGGCCAATACCCTGTTCTCTTTCTATCTGTATCTCTTCCTCATCCTCCCTCCTTCCTCCTGGGTGGCCTCCTCTCACAGAATAGCCGTGCTTACCAGACAGCTTTGGGATTACCCACCAGGAGGCCCCTACTCAAACATTCAGCCAGCGTTCTAGAAGCACTGGCAGAGCTGGGCATTGGAAACTCACCTGCTTTCTGCCAGTGTGCAGCTGAGGATGTAGCTCGCTCCCTCCTTCCTCCAGGGACCACCTAGAAGCCTTGACTTCCTTTTCTTTGGCCTCCTCCCCAGCTTCATTCTCTGTCACAACTCAGCACCTCCAACCTGTCTCCCAGATTGAGAGACATGCTCCCTCCACAATGGCTCCCACGAGCTCAGCCTGCACCACACTGCGTTCAGAGGCAGGTGCCCCGCCAGCAGCCCTTCGCCTGAGCCCCCCTGGGTACAGTCATCCTCTCTAGAGTCAGTTCTGAGCTCTCAGATTACATGTGGAAGTCAGCCCTGGCTGTGACATTTTAAGAGCAATAGACGTTCACAAACCAATGATTTGTGATGGGCAGCCAAAGTGATGAGAACTTTAGAAACCATTTCATCCAAGGAAAAGTCACAAGAACTAAGTTCTAATCAGCTTTCCAGGCTTATAGTCTTGCCATTTTTTAGATGGTTAGGCCTGGAGAATTTACTTATCCTCTCTGCCTCTGTTTCACCATCTGTAAAATGGGAATATTAACAGTGCTGGCTGTATTGAGTTGTTCTGAAAATGAAATGAGTTAATATATGAAAAGTGTTGAGAAAATGCCTGGCAGGGTAGGTATTATACAACTGCTGCTATTGTTTTTCTTATCATTATTGTTATTATTACTATTAGTGGAGAAGAAGTAGAAGAAAAATCTAAGGAGACACAGGAATACCGCCTGTCATTCATCTACCATGTGACTGTGGTCTTCACAAAAGTAGAGTCTAAAACTAAATTTCAATTCTGACCCCTCCACTTAACAGCTGGGTGACCTTTGCAAAGCCTTTAGGTTCTCGGAGCCTCCATTTTCTCATCTGCTCCTGGAGTGGTGGTTCCCTCCTTATCTAACAAGCTTGTTATGAGTGTCAGAATGCAATCATGGACTATGCAACGTAGGCTGCAACGTAGTTACTGCCGTCCTAGGCGCACCTGAACTGACGGCTGTTGGGTAAAGAAGGAGGAGACGTCTTTAGGGTTGCTTCAAAGAGAGAGAACCAGGACCACAGGCAGATGCTATCATGAGGTCAACTGCAGCTTCACCCAAGCAAGAACCTTCTAACAGCAGCTGCTCCAGAGGTAGTGAGGTTCCTGATGCAAGGAGTCCATTACTGTGGGGATTCGCTCTAAGAGTCTGGGTTTTCTGTCCCTGCCAGGCCTACCACCGCAGAACCAAGCTTCCAGATCCTGCAGAAAGTGCAGGGT